TCTCTTGCTGAGACTGGGTTACAATGTATAATTGCCGGCTTAAAGGCTAACGGGATGTGAGTCAGAAGATTGACAGGTGAGGAGAACGGTGTAAACAATTCAAAAATGGGTGCTGGACTAATAAGAAGAACGCTCAGCTCTTGCCATAATGCACACACTTAGCAATTCTCAACCCCATTTAGACTTTCTATCACAGAGTTGCTGACCTGAAACTTTCTATACTAAGATATTGGAATATTTACGTTTCACGCACAAGCTACTCAAAAACCATTTAGTCAAAACTATTCCCAGTTTAATGAGCTCATTGCTTTCAATTGCTGACTGGAAAAAAAAGGAGAGAGAAAGTGAGAGAGCGAGAGAGAGAAAAAGAAAGACACATTCATATAATAATGTACTGATAAAAAATATTAAAAGTGAAGAATTTATCTTATATTAGTCTTGTCTCTTAAAATCACCCAAACCGTACTCTCCGCTCCTCGCAAGACCTCCTACTATCTAGCTCCCTTGTCTCCTCCTCCCATGCTCATCTCCAGGACTTCTCCAGAGCTTCCCCCATCCTCTGGAACTCTCTACCCCAATTTATCAGACTATCGCCTACTCTGCTCACTTTTAGGCGATCTCTGAAAACCTATCTCTTCAGGGAAGCCTATCCTGCCCTCAGCCAATAATGGAATCTTCTAATCTTCCAACCAGTCCATCTCCCACAGTTACTACCTTTTGTACCACTAGCACCTCCCTCCTAGATTGTAATCTCCAAGTAGCAGGGCCCTCCTATCCCTCTTGTATTGAACTGTATTGTTGCTGTATTGTCTCCCGTTATATTGTAAAGTGCTGAGCAAACTGTTGGCGCTATATAAATCCTGTATAATAATAATAATAATATTAACCTGTTCAGGTTTTATCAATGCCTTCCTTTGTAGTTTTTGCTGTTTCAAGAACACTAATCAAAGCTGAACTTTAGACAGATTTAAAAAAAATCACAAAGTAGATTGTGATGGTATTATTCTCAGACTCAGACCGAGTAAAGATTTTCCAGCACACAGGAAACAATGTAAGTGGCAACAGACTGAGAGTGGTTGTCAATTGGGCAGGTTAACTTCATAGTTAACCCTTTACACACACAAAATATTAGCCACCATCTGCTGTTACAATTCCGAGTGTATCCATAGTTGAAATGTAAAACATATATTCATTTCTACATCCTATTTCAATTATTTCTAGCCTTCTCCTATTAATCTGAAGGATCCTGAAGTTCATAAACTTAATCCCCACACATTTTCTTTCTTCTGTAGCACATGCTTAGCATACCCTGTGCATAGGCATCGCTGTGTCACACTTTTCACAGAGCCTGCCTCCTGAACTACAGAGGTGCTGAGAGGAAGAGTTTCAGGAGGCGGAGTCAGTATAGGAATCACTGCTTGAAGGCAGCAAGGTACCATGGGCTATGTAGTCCTTAGAGATTGAAAGCAGAGGAGAAGCTGCAAAGCATGCAGGGAATCCAGGCAGTTGTGGAACGAGATGACCAGCAGACAGGCAGCACACACAATATGAAAGGAAATTTATCAAATAAGCTAATAATCGAATGCCAAAAATATCTCCCTTCAGAGACTCACAGATTCCCTCCAGCCGCCTGGCCTCTGCAGCTTCCTCAGCCTCCCAAACCCTCTCTTGGTATCCCAGACTCTCGATGCTGGACAGACTTTCCCAGTCCTTGGGCCCAGAGTCCCCCTCACATGGATTGTAGTCTCCATCAGGAACTCCCTGCTCTCCTGTCAGGGCTCTGTCTTCAAACAGCAGCAACTGCTATTCCACCTCTACCTGAGCTTTACCCAGATCTGCCTTATATTGAGTCTGTGTACCTGGACACAAGCACACCCTGCAGAATTTCTGGAAAACCTGGACGCAAGGCTGAAGACTCTTTGAGGGTCTTGTGTCCATTTTAACCTCCATAGCAGTCTGATTATGTCCATATTTCTGTGCTCAAAGCGGCACATTTTTTTGCATGGAAATATGTTGCTTTTTATTGTAGGCCTGTAATTCTTAGGAATAACTCACTGAAATCTGTCCGAACAAGAGTCTAGTAAACATCCTGGGAATGATAAAATTTGAAACATGAAATCATAAATCATAATAAAATAAATAATCATAAAAAATAATATATTCAAAATTTTTATTCAATAATATAATCAAACCAAAAACACTGAAATTTGAAATAGAGCACCAAGTTCGCACATCGCTGAGCTCAGTCGCAGAATCGTTTTCAGTGTCTGATGATGAATTTCCCCACGAATCATTATCACTCAATTCTACAAGTGGTTCTGATTTACTATCGCTGTTCTCTAGCTGGTCTAAAAACCGCTTTTGACCTAAAGGGACGCTTTTTGGACGCCATGGACGATTCTCAGTTTCCAGGCAGAAAGAACAGTAAAAATAGAGAGAGGGCACAGGACAAAGCACTACAAATGTATGTGAAATGGTTTGATACAGTAATGTAATACCATCAGATTTTAGTGTATTGAGTGAATGTCACATTTTTACATTTTTGAATTTCCCGCAGGTTCCATCCCCCGTACGTCCCGTACGACCCGACGCTCACAGGGAACGGAACCCGGAAGACGGATGCCGGCATCGGCCGAAGGACATGGCCGGGGTCGCTGCAGGGGGGACATCGCAGGAGCGAAGGACAAGGTAAGTGAAACAGGGATCCCAGAGCAACGCTGCAGGGTAATCCCGGTGTAGCTTGGGGTTACTGCTTCTGGTACTGAAAGTTAACCCCGAGCTACACTCGAAAATACCTCCAGGGGGGTTCATTTCCACAGTGACAGAGCCTCGAACTGTCACCCTGCAAACTTCTTAGAAATTGGTTCCAAATAATGTTTTTATTCTGTCTATCTCACCACTACGCTGAACAGGGCCCGTTTGTTGAAGGGCATTTTACCCTGAGTGTCATTACCCAATATCCCAATAATACATCGCCTAATAGACAGTGGTAAAGAGCCTATAGAGAAGAAATTAGGGAGATGAAATGTGCCTGTCATACACCTCACCAAGCACCTTCATTGAGTAATGTGCCCTTTGTGGTGTACCTTATCAGGATAAAGTTTTTTATGATCCTATCACAGCTTCATGCATCAGTTTTCACAGCATATTAGTAAGGATGACTTCCAAATTTTAAGTCACAAAATATCACTCATTTATAATGTTTAATTACCACTAATAAATGTTGAGGAGATTAAGGACACTTCAGGTAAGTCAAAATCATCAGTAAACCTGTGAAATATCATGATATATATTCCTTTTGCCTTTTGCTGTTTTATATGTAGACTCTAGAAGTCAATACATTGAAGGTCAAAGTGTATGTAAACCCTAACAATGAATGTTGAATATACGATTGAAAGCATAGAATCAAAAAATGACCTGCTGACCTTACAGAAATCCAGTGAGCTGTGCTTTCCTCCCATGCTGAAAAATATCGATTACATGGTGCTCTGAAGACAACAGAACCAAATCCCTTTGCTATATAAAGTAAGAGAGGGGTTGGGGCTCCACTGTCCTATTTTGTTTCTAATGTCCTGACACAGAAAGGTGAGTGGATGTTGTCATCCTAGGACTCAGAGTGTGTTACTGGCAGAATTACCAGGTGAAAAAAAAAATGTGAAAAAAAGAAAATGAATGCAACTACCACAACTAAGGACTGCTGAGCTGCAATACATTACATTTCTGATTTTGGTTTTAGATTTGCTTTAACAATCCATCATCTCCAGTTCTTAGCAATAATACTATTACCGCTGGTAAATGTGGTGGGTCTGCTATTGGCTCAGATCAAGCAGTTGATGATGGCTCATGTTGTCTTTAATATAAGCAGAAAGCAGGGGCGGACTGACAACTCATGGGGCCCCCTGGCAATAGGAGATCATGGGGCCCGTGTCCTTGCCAAAACTCAAAAAAGCCTATGAAAAAGGTACCAGGGGCATCTCATGGGGCCCCCTACTGCCCCCGGGCCCTCGGACAGTGCCCCAGTTTCCAAATGGTCAGTCCGCCCCTGGCAGAAAGCCATCATTTGTAACACGACTTCTGGATTTCACTGGGCCAAGATCTAATGTGGATCACCGGCTTTTCTATGCCTTCACAATCAAAATGTATAAACCGATTAAAGCAGTATATAACCCAAAGCCTGCAGTTTACAAATTATTAGATGTGGTGACTGCATTCAATTCTGTATGCTTTTCCCCTCTGTTTTCACCTGATAATCTGGCCAGTGATACACCTCCTGTAATAGAGTGCCTCCAGTCTGGATGAAGAAACACAGGGGCATCTTTGGACAGCAGCAATGTCTGTCTGGGGGAAGAGGAGTGTTAGATGTACTATCAGATTTAAACATACTTACAAAATGAAGGCAAACTGCAGCTATCACTGCAGTTACACATGCAGCTACGGCAACAGCTTTTGTTTTCCTTTTGGGCTAAATGTTTTATATGAATAAATAAAAGCTGATCATTGTAAGCACCCCTGTCAGTGGTAAAAGGTTTGTCTCAACCCTGTAAATGCTACATCTGCAGGACAGCTTGTTCTGTTGAAAAACAACAGACGTACTGGCAGGATCACTAGTTGAAAAAAAAAGGAAAGAAAGCCAAAAAAAGAAAATGAATATAGCCATCACATCTATGAATTGGTAAGCTGCAATATAGTAAATGTTTGCTTTTGGGTTTAATACCGCTTTAAAGGCCGAGTTAATTATTTATTTTTTTGTGCTATTTTTTTTTTAGACATTGTTAGATTGCACCGTACAGTATTGATATCATGTGAATATTGTTGATTTCTTTAGGTAAGCACAAAAATGTTTATATTTATATATATATATATATATATATATATATATATATATATATATACATACATACTATATTGCCAAAAGTGTTGGGACACCCCTCCAAATCATTGAATTTGGTGTGTCCCAATCACCTTCATGGCTAGAGGTATATAAAAGCAAGCACTTAGGCATGCAGACTACTTCTACAAACATCTACAGAAGCTCAGTGAATTCAAGCGTGGTACTGTGATAGTTTGCCACCTGTGAGATAAGTCCATTCATAAAATGTCCTTGCTACTAAATATTCCACGGTCAACTGTTTGTGGTATTATAACAAAGTGGAAACAACTGGGAACAACAGCAAATCAGCCACAAAGTGGTAGGCTACGTAAAATTACAGAGCGGGGTCAGCTCATGCTGAAGCGCACAGTGCATAAAAGTTGCCAACTGTCTGCAAAGTCAGTAGCTAAAGACCTCCAAACTTCAAGTGACCTTCAGATTAGCAAAACAACAGTGCGTAGAGAGCTTCTTGGAATGAGTTTCCATGGCCAAGCAGCTGCATCCAAGCCTTACATCACTAAGTGCAATGCAAAGCGTCGGATGCAGTGGTGTAATGAACGCCGCCACTGGACTCTAGAGCAGTGGAGACATGTTCTCTGGAGTGACGAATCACACATCTCTGTCTGGCAATCCAGTGGACTTTTCTGGGTTTGGAGGTTGCCAGGAGAATGGTACTTGCCTGACTTCATTGTGCCAAGTGTAAAGTTTGGTGGAGGGGGGATTATGGTGTGGGGCTATATTTCAGGGGTTGGGCTTGGCCCCTTAGTTCCAGTAAAGGAAACTCTTAAGCAGTTGGCATACAAAGACATTTTGGACAATTTCATGCTCCTAACTTTGTGAGAACAGTTTGTCCCCTTCCTGTTCCAACATGACTGTGTACCAGACCACAAAGCAAGGTCCATAAAGACATGGATAAGCAAGTTTGGGATGGAGGAACTTGACTGGCCTGCACAGAGTCCTGACGTCAACCCGACAGAACACCTTTGGGATGAATTAGAGCAGAGACTGCGAGCCAGGCCTCTTGTCCGACATCAGTGCCTGATCTCACAAAAATGTGCTCCTGAAAGAATGGTCAAACATTCCCAAAGACACCCTCCTAAACCTTGTGGACGGCCTTCTCAGAAGATTTGAAACTGTTATAGCTGCAAAGGGCGGCGTCAACTCAATATTGAATCCTACGGACTAAGACTGGGATGCTATTAAAGTTCATGTGCGTGTAAAGGCTGGCGGCCCAATACTTATGGCAAAGTGTGTATATATATATACATACATGCATACAGTGCTCAGCATAAATGAGTACACCCCAAAAGATTAGTCAGAAAACCATTTCTTTCCTTTGTTAATTTGTTAATCTACACGCACACACATACAAAAAAGTATTTTTCCTAACAAATTTATTCAAGACCATGTTGCAAAATGAATACACCCCATTCAATGTCTTATGAGCAAAGCTAAATTTTAGACAACAAAATCCTAATTAACAAGAGTTCAACTACAGGTGAATCTAATTATTCATTAAACAGGTGTCCAGCAGAGAGTTGATTATAAAAGGGTGTTACTTCACAAAGAAAACCCCTTTCCATTTCATGCTGTCAGCAATGGCACCACATAAAAAAGAAATGTCAGGATTGAGAAAGAAAATAATTTCTTTACACAAGAAAGGTGAAGGCTACAAGAACATCAGCAAAGCTTTACTTATCAGTCAGAATACTGTACCAAAAGTGATAAAAAATGTCACAAAGACGGAACTGCAATCATTTCACAGAGACATCCAGGCCATCCACAGAAGTTAACACCTCAACAGGAGAGTCTTCTGATGAGAAGGGTTGAAGAAAATCAGCACGTAAGTTCACTGCAGTTAACTAAAGAAAGGCAAACTGGGGTGACTGTTTCCCGTGACACAATATGGTGTACACAGCAAAGGAATGGCATGCATGGGAGTCGTCCACGAAGGAAACCACTCCTAAAGCCCATGCACAAAAAAGCTCGCCTAGAATTTGCCAGGGCCCATGCTGCAAAAGAAGACTATTGGGACTCTGTACTCTGGAATGATGAAACCAAGATAAATGTTTTTGTAACTGATTGCTTCAAAACTGTATGACGTCGCAAAGGTGAGGAGTACAAAGAAAAATGCATGGTGCCTACAGTGAAACATGGTGGTGGCAGTGTCCTTCTGTGGGGCTGCATGAGTGCTGCTGGTGTCGGGGAACTGCATTTCATTTTTGGTATCATGAATTCACAGATGTACTGCTCTATATTGAAAGAGAAGATGATACCATCACTCCATGCCCTTGGTCGTCCTGCTCTTTTCCAACATGACAATGATCCAAAACACCCATCTAAGGCCACTGTTGCATTTCTGAAGAAGAACCGGGTGAAAGTGATTCAAAAGGGGTGTACTCACTTATACTGAGCACTGTATATATATATATAAATATATATATATATACAGTCATGGCCGAAATTGTTGGCACCCTTGATATTTCTCCAGGAAATCATGTATTTCTCACGAAACGTATTGCATTAACACATGTTTTGCTATATACACATGTTTATTCCCTTTGTGTGTATTGGGACAAAACAAAAAAAGGGAGGAAAGAAAGCAAATTCGACATAATGTCACACAAACCTCCAAAAATGGGCTGGACAAAAGTATTGGCACCCTTTCACAACTGCGGATAAATAAGAATGTTACAAGCATGTGATGCTCCTGTAAACTCACCTGGGGCAAGTAACAGGTGTGGGCAATATAGAAATCACACCTGAAAGCAGATAAAAAGGAGAGACGTTCACTTAACCTTTGCATTGTGTGTCTGTCTGTGCCACACTAAGCATGGACAACAGAAAGAGGAGACGAGAACTGTCTGAGGACCTGAGAACCAAAATTGTGGCAAAATATCAACAATCTCAAGGTTACAAGTCCATCTCCAGAGAACTAGATTTGCCTTTGTCCACAGTGCGCAACATTATCAAGAAGTTTGCAACCCATGGCACTGTAGCTAATCTCCCTGGTCGTGGACGGATGAGGAAAATTGATGAAAGATTGCAACAGAATAGTCCGGATGGTGGATAAGCAGCCCCAAACATGTTCCAAAGACATTCAAGCTGTCCTGCAGGCTCAGGGAGCATCAGTGTCAGCGCGAACTATCCGTCGACATTTAAATGAAATGAAACGCTATGGCAGGAGACCCAGGAGGACCCCACTGCTGACACAGAGACATAAAAAAGCAAGACTACAGTTTGCCAAAATGTACTTGAGTAAGCCAAAAGCCTTCTGGGAAAACGTCTTGTGGACAGATGAGACCAAGATAGAGCTTTTCGGTAAAGCACATCATTCTACTGTTTACCGAAAACGGAATGAGGCCTACAAAGAACAAAACACAGTACCTACGGTAAAATATGGTGGAGGTTTCAATGATGTTTTGGGGTTGTTTTGCTGCCTCTGGCACTGGGTGCCTTGACTGTGTGCAAGGCATCATGAAATCTGAGGATTACCAAAGGATTTTGGGTCGCACTGTAGGGCCCAGTGTCAGAAAGCTGGGTTTGCGTCCAAGATCCTGGGTCTTCCAGCAGGACAATGACCCCAAACATACGTCAAAAAGCACTCAGAAATGGATGGCAAAGAAGCGCTGGAGAGTTCTGAAGTGGCCAGCAATGAGCCCAGATCTAAATCCCATTGAACACCTGTGGAGAGATCTTAAAATTGCTGTTGGGAAAAGGTGTCCTTCCAATAAGAGAGACCTGGAGCTGTTTGCAAAGGAAGAGTGGTCCAAAATTCCGGGTGAGAGGTGTCAGAAGCTTATTGATGGTTATAGGAAGCGACTGATTTCAGTTATGTTTTCCAAAGGGTGTGCAACCAAATATTAAGTTAAGGGTGCCAATACTTTTGTCCAGCCCATTTTTGGGGTTTTGTGTGACATTATGTCATATTTGCTTTTCTGCCTCTGTTTTATATTTGTTCCAATACATACAAAGGGAATAAACATGTGTATAGCAAAACATGTGTTAATGCAATACCTTTTTTGTGTGAAATACTTGATTTTCAGGAAAAATATCAAGGGTGCCAACAATTTCGGCCATGACTGTATATATATATACAGTGAGGAACAGAAGTATTTGAACACTCTGCAATTTTGCAAGTTCTCCCACTTAGAAATCATGGAGGGGTCTGAAATTCACATTGTAGGTGCATTCCCACTCTGAGAGACAGAATTTAAAAAATAATTCAGGAAATCACATTGTATGATTTTTAAAGAATTTATTTGTCTTGCACTGCTGAACATAAGTATTTGAACACCTGAGAAAATCAGTGTTAATATTTGGTACAGAAGCCTTTGTTTGCAATTACAGAGGTCAAACGTTTCCTGTAGTTCTTGACCAGGTTTGCACACACTGCAACAGGGATTTTGGCCCACTCCTCCACACAGATCTCTTCTAGATCTGTCAGGTTTCGGGGCTGTCGCTGAGCAACATGGAGTTTTAGCTCCCTCCAAAGATGTTCTATTGGATTTAGGTCTGGAGACTGGCTAGGCCACTCCAGAACCTTGATATGCTTCTTACGGACACTCCGTGGTTATCCTAGCTGTGTGCTTCGGGTCGTTGTCATATTGGAAAACCCAGCCACGACCCATCTTCAATGCTCTGACTGAGGGAAGGAGGCTGTTGCTCAAAATCTCACAATAAATGGCCCCATTCATCCTCTCCTTAATACAGTGCAGTCGTCCTGTCCCCTTTGCAGAAAAGCGCCCCCAAAGCATGATGTTACCACCCCCATGCTTCACAGTAGGGATGGTGTTCTTGGGATACAACTCATCCTTCTTTTTCCTTCAAACACGACGAGTGAAGTTTAGACCAAAAAGTTCTACTTTGGTCTCATCTGACCACATGACTTTCTCCCATACCTCCTCTGGATCATCCAGATGGTCATTGGCAAACTTCAGATGGGCCTGGACATGTGATGACTTGAGCAGGGGAACCTTCTGTGCAATGCATGATTTGAAACCATGACGGCGTAGTGTTCTACCGACAGTGACCTTTGAAACTGTGATCCCAGCTCTCTTCATGTCATTGACCAGCTCCTCCCTTATAGTTCTGGGCTGATTCCTCACCTTTCTTATCATAAGTGATACCCCACGAGGTGAGATCTTGCATAGAGCCCCAGTCCGAGGGAAACTGACAGTCGTCTTTAGCCTATTCCATTTTCTAACAATTGCTCCAACAGTTGATCTATTTTCACCAAGCTGCTTAGCAATTGCCCCGTAGCCCTTTCCAGCCTTGTGGAGGTCCACAATTTTGTCTCTGGTGTCTTTTGACAGCTCTTTGGTCTTGCCCATGGTAGTAGTTGGCGTCTGGCTGACTGTGGGGTGGACAGATGTCTTTAAAGAGCTCAGACAGGTGCTACTAAGTTAGATAAAGTAGTGGAGTAGTGGTGGACTTTTTAAAGGCACAGTAACAGGTCTTTGAAAGCCAGAATTCTTGCTGTTTCTTAGGTGTTCAAATACTTATGT